AAGAAAAGAGGATCACGTTCCCTTGGAAAGGCAGACAAAAAGCCATCCACCCAGGTACCTGTACATTGAACTTGGCACACCTTGTCTGCACTTACATGATTTCATTACATTTTGAGTGTGTGCTTGCATCTCTCTCTAGCCTCATGCCTTTCCAAACTTGAGTCTCATCTGGTAAGAAAGTTATGAACAAAATGTTACCAGTGGGACATGTGTGTATCATTTTTTAAAGGTATAATCAGAGAAGAGATCAGAGAAGTGGCCTTATCCTGCAAATATTTAGGGTGAGAGGACCTAAAGGGAGGTTTTTTGTTTTTTTTTTGCAGGCAAACAGAACAGAGAGGTTGGCCTTATTTACCTTCCATAAATCAGAGCATTGAAAAGTTACTTTTTATGCTACAGTGACCAGAGTGGCCATGGGTATGCTGGTTAAGCAATTGCAGGAATTGTAGTCCAAAAAAATTGACTTTTCCCTAGCTCTTCATGCTACTTTAGTTATTCATATTCGGGCAGGATGGTTTACTATAATACCTTACGCCCTGGGTTAACAATAACCAGCTGGCCTGTACAATTTGAAATATTCCAGCATGTAATCACATTGGCCAATTGCAACTTTTGCCAATGAATCAACATACTTTTATTGTTTAAAAGAATTAAAGAGGAACCATTTGGATCAGTGATGCAAATGACTGAAGCTAAATGTTGAACCATACAGCAGTGAACTTTTTTGTTTGTTCTTTGTGCATTTCTTTTCTTTAAAAAAATGAAAGCTGCTGCCTGAATTAATAGAAAAACAGGCTGGCAAAGTCTTTTAATGTTATGTGGTTTGACATTTGAATTTTACTGGATAAATTTTCTGCAGCACAATGACTGACCCTGAATAGCACTGGAATATCTGAAATACATTAACCAGATTTCTCCACAACAATGCCAAAGAGTATGATTAGAAAGAAGCAATGGTGCAAAGGAAATAGGTTGGTGGCAGGCAAAATGAGGACTGGAAAAAATTCCAATCCATTGCACTGTATTATCAATTTTTAACTGAGTGTATGTTCCCTTTCATGTCAGTGTTGAGACCAAAAGTGATCTTATATGTTGTACATAGCCATTCGTTTGATCAATAGTTAATTGAAATTATATAATTCTGTGAAATTGATGACACCTTCCTGATTTTGGCTTGACTGTAGCTTTGCTAATATCGTTCATAATTTGTTCAGAAACTTTCAGAATAGATAATTACATCTGCATCAGGCCCG